AATTAACACGTTGGCTGCCGTGGGGGTCACCGGTGACCGGCACTCGACTTGGCTACAGCGCCGTGGGGGCCACCAGTGACCGGCGACGCGACGAATAATTAAAATACGTAATTAGGGTAAACATCGATACGCATAAATTTTTAAATAATATAATATTATAATAATTGTAATTTATTACAATGCGCCACGAAAAATGCATAAAACAAGTTTATACAACTAAACTTATCTGCTGTAAATAATATTTCAACATAATATGCATCGCATAATGAAAAATTCATGTTGGCGCCTTGGGCAAGTCACGTAAAATTCGCGCGGCAGCCAACGTGTTAATAAACTTAAAATCAAATAAAATAATCGGAAATCATAAAATTGTTGAGAAAAATAATTGAAGGATATAATAAAAAGATTTAGTCAACGCTGTAACAAAATCAAACAAAAGAGAAGAAAGTATTCTGATAATCTTGTTAAGCGATTGAATATTATTCTAGCAATGGTGCATGTCGTTGTATTGATAATAATAAGAATACTAACGCCTAAGAATACATCCTCCGGCGTTACCGCCTGCTTAAATTTCATCTCATATTCCGGCACCTCCCTCGGATCATGGATTTCGGAATTCTGTATGGCGTCTACCTCAGACGGATGCCAAATATCATCAGTCTTTCCTTTCAGCGGTGCATGTGGCCCGACGTGTTGCTTGGACGCAGTATTTTGAGCTCCAATATCGCCAGGTCCTTAAAAACGTCTACCATCCGTTACACATACTTGTACCATCTATTTTACACGCATGAAATCTGACGATATCAAAATGAACAGTGAATAGAACATATCATCACATCAGAAAAATCTGCTCAATCATTAACCCTCGGGGAAAAAAAAGAAGAAAAAAGATTCCAGAAAATCTCAATACCGTGATTTTCTGATTTTCAACAAATTGTCGATATTTAAATTGTTATAATTTCGTAAAAAAGAGTCATGCAATAATAAATCTGGACGTATTTTAAAGCTTAACGCTTCTACTTTTGTTATGCATCGTTTGTTTTTTTGTAACATGTTAATGCGTAATTTAGCAGATGGGAAACTGGGGATATGCTCTTTTCTCGTAATATTAAGGATAAAAATGTATTTAAATACATTTACATACAAAATTTATTTCATGACTGATTCTAACATTGATTTGAGGATTGGAGGTGCTTCTACAATTTTAGTTAAAATTTAATTAAAAATTGAAATCATCTTTTTCTGATTGCACTAACAATTTTATTTTACTTCATTGCATTTATTAAAACAATGTACTAACTCCTACATAAAACTAAGTCAGGGATTGCAGTAAATAGTATACTTTCCAAAATACCTTTCTTATAAAATGTTGAAACTGTTTACTTCTTTTTTATGTATTTATCCTCTATACTGTTTTTTAAATAAATGATTTTTGTAAAGCTAATACGTATCTTGTGAACTCGGAACCATTGCAGAAAAAATTATAATGTTAATTGATTTAATTGATTTTCGTTTACTAATATTTATCTGAATACCTTATC